GTTTTTGAATTCTTACCATAACCTAACGAAGTATATATTAATCCAATGGTAATCGCCGCAGTGATACATACGGCGAACCAATCCCTTCTTATTTTTAAATTTAAATGAAAATAGTTGCGTCCTTGGCCAGCATCAAGCAGTCCTTCTTTTTCTGCTTGATGTTCACGATTGCTCAACATGATTCCTCCTTACTTTATAAAAATAAAATTTCGATTTTTTTTTTTTTTTTTTTTTTTTTTTTTGAAATATTTGGTGGGATTTAGGTAAAGAATGTGAGATACCCAACCTTAAATAAGCTTGAAGATTTTTTTGGGTGAGATTAAAGATCATTTTCATCCGTCCTTTCATATTTGCACATTGATTTCTTTAAGGTTATGTCAACCAATCAAAATACACACGTGGAAACGTTATAAACCGAAAAAGAACAATTAATTTCATAATTAAAAATTTATGCTTATAAAAAAATTTTAAAAGGAATAATATTTATAATTCGCAATTACCATTATAAAATTCCCTCTTTCGTAATGATATTAAAAATCACCAAGATCGCCAATTATTATGTATAAATTGTTTACCGATAAATCGCAAAAAATAGCTCGGAATAGCGTGGAGATACATGTTTACTCGTCAAAATATTGAGGAATATTCTTGTATATATCTGTTCTGGTAAATTGAGCTGTAAAATTTATAAATTTGCCCTAACAGATTGGTTATGAACGTGACCAATATTTGGTCAAAGATCGAATTGTCCGTCTTTGTTATTATGTGCTCGTATTAACTTTGACATTTAGTTACATGTTAGTTCAAATGTTTCTATTCTCATAATATACATTACTGAATGATATAAATGTCTTATACATACAGAATTCTTTCTTTTTAAGCGAATCAAATTGCTTTCTTAAGTCGGATAATACTTTATAGTTAGAGTATTTTTCATCATAAAAAAAGTCTAAAACTCTCTTCGTTTTATCAATTTCTTTCTTGATTCGTTTGATAATTCATAATAATCATTTGCAAAGTGGAAAATTTACATAAGAATTTTCAAAAAAGCCCTCACGTTTACAAATAATGAAATTTTTTTAAAAAATGCAATCGTGTGACACGAAGGATCAAAAAAATTTTTGTATCTTTTTTTTTTAAATTTGAAATTATTTAACCGTATTTGTAATAATTGCATGTTGTTGAACATAAAAAAAAAAAAATATCGCGCATAGGTTCTGCATAGTCATGTGTAGTAACTATTAATTAACTTTTTAGAAATCAATTTATGTTCATTATAATTCACAAGATTAATAATTCCATGAAAATATTATCCCTTAATTGCCTTTTCTAAAGATCAAAGAACATTAGTATATTTCTTAAGAAGTCATCAACTGCAAAAAATTTTATTATATATACACGTTCCTTAAATATAAACTTTGTGAAAAGAGATATGCGGTACGTGTGAAAATTTTGAAAATTCAAGTATCATTAAAATCTGTGTGACGTTATGTTTTCTAACTTAATTTCCTTTATCTTTATCATATGACTATGACTCTTATTTATATACTTATAGGGACGATTAATCGGAGATTTCTATTTACGAAAATAAGGTTCAAAGGCTGAAGAAACGTTTTAACCGTATTTGGTCGAATACTAATAATGAAGAAAATACAAAAAAAAAATATTCCCAAGAAACATTTCTTAAAAAAAAACCATGAATGTTGAATATCTAAAAACCGGAAAACTAATTGGTAAAATTGAAAAATTAAGTGAAAGTTCAAATAGATTAAAGCAAACATTCGACAGTAAAAATAATGAAGATAAGATAATTTTAGGAGATGATAAAATAACTTCGTTAGGACAAGCAACCGAAATTTGCAAAACAGAAAAAGCCCAATTGAAAGAAACCAAACTTCAATTAAAAACAATTCGTAACAATTTGACCGAAAAAGAAGTGCGATTAGGAAAAACGCAGAGTAATTCAGAAAAGACTGAACTCCAGTTAGAATCCATTATTCGTAATAATTTAACCGAAGAAGCGGGTAGTCATCGTGAAACCAAAGAGCAATTAGATATTGTGCTGGCTGAATTAGAACTTGCTAAAAAAGATCGGGAAGAGACTAAACGTCAATTAGAAACCATTCGTAATAATTTAAATGAAGAAGTAGGTAGACATATTGAGACAAAAGCGCAATTAGAGTTTTTCCTGGCAGAATTAGATCTTGCTATCAAAGATCGGGAAGAAACCAAACGTCAATTCGAATATATTAATAATAATTTGACTCAGGAAGCAGGAAGGCAAACCTCGGAGCAACTTGAGCATTTCCTAATTGAAATAGATCTTGCTAATAAAGATAAAGAAGAAACTAAACTTCAATTAGATACCGTTCGTAATGATTTAACCGAAGAAACAGCTAGGCATCTTAAAACCAAAGAGCAATTAGCAACTGCGAAGAGTAATTTAGACAATGCTAATAAAGATCGGGAGGAAACTAAACTCCAATTAGAAACCATTCGTAACCATTTAAATGAAGAAGTAGGTAGACATTTTGAAACCAAAGAGCAATTAGAGTTTTTCCTAGCAGAATTGAATCTTACTAATAAAGATCAGGAAGAAACTAAACGTCAATTCGAATCAATTAATTATAATTTAACAGAAGAAGCAGGTAGGCAAACCTCGGAGCAGTTTGAGCATTTCTTAATTCAAATAGACCTTGCTAATAAAGATAAAGAAGAAATTAAACGTCAATTAGAAACTAATTTAACAGAAGAAACAGCTAGACATCTTGAAACTAAAGAGCAACTAACTTTAATGCAGGCTGAATTAGAACGTGTCAATATCGTACTTGAAGTATTGAAACTATTAAGGGAAGGAAAAAGAGAGTTACACGGATCCAGCAGGGTGGACATACTTCATATTATCACATTTGTTGATCATTTGCCGATCATTTGCCGATCATTTGCCGATCATTTTCTCATTTTTATCACATATTGAAAATGCCGTTATACAATGT